CAGAGTGGATGAGATCTGAAAAATATACATAGAATTTATGTGGTCCACAGGCTAATCCGCTGCAATTGCAATAAAGCTAACGACAGCCTCATATATTGCGACTTCTGCAGCATTCTACCTCCGAACTTATCTCCATTAGGTTAAATGGATAGATCACACTGTTGAGGAAGAAAAAATACTTGGTTTCAGTTTCACTATAGTCATACGTACTTTGAGAGGATGTGTCCGAGGGTTAGAAGTGTTTTCCGGCTCTAACCAGGCGCCGGGTGCAAAGGAACTTTTCGGAAATTATGCAGTGAGCGCGAGGCTTACGACCTCTCATCAACTTAAAACAACCAAAGATAGACAAGACTGCGCCGCCAGAAGAATTGCTGTGCAATTGACCGCTTCAACTTGTGTGCTCCATGTGTGCGCCATTTAGTTCCTGCGAACTTTCAAGGTGGATTCAGAACCCAAGCTTGCGTAATCTGTGCTTTCAGGCTAAACAAACCAACAGATTCGATAATATAAAGTTCTTGAACTCATTCAAAAACCCATTCAACCGGCTGCTATCCGATATTATTAAGCTAAATTCGAAGTGAATATTTGGATCGGACCTCAACTTTATGTAAACGTTCAGCTAGAATACCAGAAACTCTGCGCAGCCTAGACCGGACAACGTACCATTCGCAAATCACATAGTAAGGTGTAATTTAAATGCACAGCCTTCTCACCATACTCCACAACTTGCTATTGATCTCCGCCGAAATTCTTCTTCTGCATGGCAGAAGCGCGAGTTATTCTGCCTAGCTGAGGGTCGTCCGGGACTCGTACTCTTTTTAACACGACTGGGAATTAGAAACAAAACTATCTGACTCGGACTTGTCAGATTCAGTCACGTAAGCCATTCGGTCCAAGACGTTAGGTTCGATGAGACTCATGGAAGTAAGTAGTTCAGTTCAGTTTGCTTGAGAGAAATCAAGGTGTGCATCTTTGAACTTGCCAGTTGTTAAAAGCAACAAAAATATGCTAAAAATGCGGAATGGAGAACATCAAGCACTAACACACTGTGAGCCACTCAACTATGAATCACGGTACTTCCTTTTAACTCAGTATAGATGCGTCATCCTTTTTCATTGGCTGTCTGATGAAAGTCCTTTCGGTTGGAAATTATTTCGATATCATTTTGATCAGTTTGACCGCTGTCGAGACTTTTCGTCAAGATAATCGGTGAAGGGGTGTCTCTTAAGTAGATTTTCAAATGCAGCCTTTTCGGACAAGGCTTATTTGCCTAATGCTCTGTCTTAATTCTATCATTCCAAACACGAGAATTAGATGCTTGTTAATGCTTTATGCGAACGTCGTCCACTCGACTTGTTGCATTAGTTTAAGTGGATTCTTTCTTGGATTAATTTCCATGTTTTGACTCCTCTGTAGCTCAGTGTTCTTCTTCGTTTTCTTCAACCACACACCTTACAGGCTTGATTCGTGTAAACTAGAAAAAAATTCACGAATGGAAGAGAATATGCGCATCCCAGGTTCTTGTTTAAAAGAAGACGAAGGCACGATCACTGTGACGGTAGCTCTATTGGTCTTAGCTTTCGAACTCAAACAGGAGTTCATCATCAGAGAATGTTATAGTGAACGCACTTCGCCCTCGCAGCCAGGTGGCGCAGCTCACATCGCCGCGAAGTTCAAACGCCGTTACCACAGCCGGGGGACCATTATGAGCCAGGCAGCAAAAACCAGACCTAGCCACGGACGTACTCCCCCCCCCCTCTTACGGCACAACGGTATAAATGTTTACACGTTGCTGCACTATAACAGTCTCTGAGGATGAACTGCTGTTCGAGTTCAAAAGCTGAGACCAATAAAGCTACTGCCCTATTAATCGTGCCTTCGTCTTCTGTTAGATAAAAATCCCCCTGTTATGGGGGGATGACTTCACTGAAATTTGATCCCCGTCAGGGCAGCTTGTGGGGGCTAGGAACATCCTGCTAGATTATTTACAGTTAGGCAGTTGAGAGCGACGACATCTACCGCGGGCCACGCACGGTGGGCGCACAACCTGGAGGATTGTGCGTGAATTATTTTATAGTGATGCAGGCCTGCGCGACATCAACCACACTGTCTCCTCCCTAATTCACCTTTGGTAAGACAATCTCAAGACGACCGGAGTTGGGCGCGATTGCAGTGGCCGACAAAGCTGAACAGATCGACTACGCGCACCACACACGCGATCTTGTTTCCGCTACATGTACCGGGCAACTGTAAGAGCGGTTGCGGCGTCACATGGACGAGAACGCCATAGGGAGCACACTACGGGGGAGTCGATGATGTCAATAAGCGGAGCTCGCTGTTACCTATTCTTAGTCCTGAGGCGATGCCAGTTACCTCGTCATTTGTCAGCCCTCCAAGTCACGATTCTCTGTACGTCCAGCATATCAGATTTATTTCGGTGAAGGATACGCTGATTTTCCGTGTAACTCAGTCTCCAATGTCCGTCTCACTATCCCATTCCTCAGTCATGCACCAGCTGACTGTCCGGGCCGTCAGCCATCTGGCGGTAGGCTGGTGCACAATGGCTAACGTGATGAGAAGATCAACATCTGAGGCCTGCCGCGGGCATGTGAATGTGCTACCTTAAAATATGTTGACCTTAATTTCGGAATAGGTTCTCGATTCGGAAAGACTACTTAAGCAGGCTGTAATTATCGCGCAACACAATCTTAAGATGCATCTGTCACGTCGAGGTGCAGGCCTTTGAACGGGCTTCTTTCGGCCGCCTGCAAACACTATATAAAGTGACTAATTAATTGGTAAAAGTTTTGCCCTCTTGTCTTTCGATTTCCTTATAAATTCAAGTATATTTTACGGAATGCATGCCCGGAAACATTCTTTTTGAACTGATTTTCTGACAAATTATATTTTCTTTGAACGTAAAAATTGAAGAAAATGCGTTTTCTGCTTTTGAAAAAAGTGTATCATCATGGGATTTTATGAGGACTGTGAAATGTACATTCACAAAAAGTCGTATCTGCCAATTATCAATACTGCTTTTAAGGGGTAAAACCTGTTTACATCTATCGCATCATTTTGTGAGGTATAAATCTTGTCTTTTTAATAACGTATATAAATATATAATTGTTTTATGTGATAAAAATACAGTTAATACTCCGAAAACCCTGAATGCAACTGTGGCGGCAGATCAGATGTAAAATTGTTCGAAACCGACAAGGGTTTTCCAGCCTAAGGATTGGAAGAAAACGTGTCGTGCTAGAAAATGAAGATGAGAAAAATATATTGACGTGTTTTCCATAAAATATATTTGAACTTATGAGGGCACCGAAAATTAATGGTAAAAAAGCATACTTATAAAACAGTCAATTTTTTCGGAGTACGTATTTGCAAGTGGTCGAATAAAAACTCCTTTATAAGCCGCCCCCCTCCAACGGGACTGATATATCTTGGAATTAAACTACAAGATAAATAACATTACAACTCCTATTAAGCAATCTTTTCTCATCGGGAACACATTTCATAATTTCATTCAACATTGCACGAGATAGCACGCATTCACAGTATGGCAGTGCTTATGAGCCAGCGCGAACTCTGCTCAGACCGGGAGGCGCGTGCATTGAACCTGTCGGAGGCCTGTTTTGATCCAGCGCATCAACAAAGTAAGCCGTTGTGGAGGGGGAGAGAGTGGAGGCGAACACGGGATAAAAGAAGAGTTCTAACAGCTCAAGTTTCCGAATTTCGATCTTTAGACAGAGCGCTCGAAGGCCACTTGAAAAGGTTTGGGGTAGATACACTTGGGGTTTCCATCTCAGTGCCAATTGATTGCTACTTGTTGTGCTTACGTAGTACCTCAAGCCTGCGCATTTTAAGTAACAATATTCACCCTATATTATCGGTAGAAAAGTAAATGAAGAGAGCAAGGGTTGATTACGCTGCCCTGATCCCAAGTGTAAACGTAATGTGGGCATCGAAAGGAAGATAAGCCAAAGGGGGACGCTGAAACCGTCAGTGGGGAAAGTAGCCGCGGCTGGAACGGAAAAGGCTACCTGATGTATGGCAAACCTGCCGCCAGATTGTATGAAGCCTGGAATCCCCTCAGAGGATCTGGCTGACAGGGCATGCGGAGCAGCAATACCCCAAAATTAACGATAAACCTAACCGTAACCTCATAGCAAACATAATCCTTAACGTAATTATAAACCTAACACTAACCCTAAGCTTAGCATCAAACCTAGCCCTAAATCTACCACAAACCATAGCCTTGCATTTGCTGCCATGGGTTCAAACTCCACCGTCACTGTCGAGTTTCACAATAGCGTCTGATGAGTAACAACACATTGTCCCTCAGTCGGTAGATTGGGCCCGTTATGAGGGCCTGCGATCGGGCACACTGTACCCTGCCCCAACGTCGCATCCGCGACCATTGACCCAGCTGCCTGCAGACCCAGTGACCTATCATCCCCCTCGTTCTGCATAGGGGACCGTAGCTCTTCTCTCCTCCCCTCCCACCGACTCAGAAATCTACCATGACTCTCTGTCCACCCCACCCTCCTCACATGCCTACAGTCTGTCTGTCAATGTCAATCTTGTCGCGCCAAATGGTCTAGTTTGACCATCTCACTTTCTTTTCTATACGGCTTTTGTCCGACAACGGGTTGACGTCAACAACCTGAATGTTCACGAGTACAAATGGCTGTTTCCGAAGAGCCTCTTCTTTCTCCATACGAATGTAAATGTTGGATGTATTAATCCTTAAAAAGTTAATTGAAATTCTGAAATCTTCTTTTGGTTCGAAAAGACCGCTTAAGCGGGATTGTGAGACTAATTATTATGTAGCGTAATCCCATGAGAATTCAGCTATATCAGGATGTAGGCTCCCGCACAAGCTTCTTTTCAGTCGCTTGAAACTGCACTTTGCAAAAAATGACTACATATGTAACACGAATTTTCCCCATTGATTTTCGATGCCTCTATAAAATGGAATATCAATAGCAGTGAAAATGCGATTCCCAGGTGATATGCCACCTGGGAACCGCATTTTCACTACTATTGATGTGAATTACAGGCGCGAAGCGGTTCAACTGGCTCGTCGTTGGAAAAAAACTGTCCTCCGACAGGCCTCGACCTATGCACAGCTCCGTTTCCTTCACAGATACCTTGCCAACTATGTTATGCCAAAATGCCTCTCATACAAGCCTCCAGTCAACACGGAATTGGCTAAACAAACGATGTTCCGCCATAGCCGGCGAATGACAAAAGTACTAATACAAGATTGTCACCTGCGACTAAAGAAATACGCACACAGTGCTGAAAACTTCCGGATGCTTGTTACACGCCGGTGTAGTGAATCGACTGCCGCCACATTGGAGAACACATTACTAGCATTGGAACGAAAGAAACGTGCTAACAGTGATGCGGATTTATCGGCAAAGTTCATGGCACTGCAGACCGCACAAGCCCAGGAAACCGGACAAACGACAGTACATAACCTCTCGTCAAAACAACTTACTGTGACCCACACAAAAGTTCTACAACGTGGATCTGGTTTTAACACAACTGACGCCGACCCGGTCACCCTCATTGCTTCTTTCGAATCAGTGCTTCGTCAAACCGGCGCCACAAACGAGGCAAAGGACCTCCTTCGACATCAAGTCTCGTCACTTCTCATGTGGCACCGGAAAACCCATTCCCTGCTAAAAAATGAACAAAAGGCCCTAAGGGAGTTGAAAGCGGACACCGAAATAGTTATTCTGCCCGCTGACAAAGGCCGGTCAATCGTTATCCTCGACAAGGTAGACTACCGACACAAAGCCCTCCTGCTCCTCAACGATCAGGAGTCCTACTAAGTCAGCGATGCCGCCAGTCTAAAGTCCCTAGTGTCAAAGGTGTACAGAATTCTGGCTCGACTAAAAAAGGACAAGGTCATCACCGTCAAAGACTGGTATATGGCAAAGCCCGCAGAAGCCGCTATAGCGAGATTCGACGGTCTCCCAAAAGTACACAAGCCAGATGTTCCCCTCCGTCCTATCGTCTCACTCCGAGGCACACCCACATACGGGCTTGCAAGCTGGCTATTTCAGAAGCTAAGATTCCTAACTGCAGGCTCACAAACAACGGTGCACTCAGCAGGACAATTCCTTGACAAAATAAGCGCAGTCACGATCGAACCGAATGAAAGGACAGTGTCTTTTGACATCGTCTCACTCTTCACGTCCGTACCACAGGCCCTTGCGGTCGAAACGCTCAGTGACCGGCCACGTCAAAATTACGAGGGGGGCTATGGCCAGCCCACAGCTCAGGATCTCATAGAACTCACGGGGCACTGCCTCAAGACATTCTTTACCTTCGAAGGGACCACATACGAGCAGATCAAGGGTACTCCAATGGGTTCACTAATCTCCGGGCTCATTGCCGAGGCGGTTCTACAAAAACTCGAGAGACGACTATTCGAGGAGTACAAACCCAAGTTTTGGGCACGCTACGTTGATGACACCTTTGTAATCATCGACCAGGATAAAATCAACTACTATCCGGAAGTACTGAACTCAATCATTCCCGATCTACAATTCACGATGGAAGAGGAAGTAGGGGACAAACTTCCATTCTTTGATGTCCTCGTCTGCCGCCAACCAAATGGCGAACTAGCGACGTCGGTCTACAGAAAACCAACCAACACGCTGAAAATGCTCAGCTATAACAGCAACCACCCGCTAAAACACAAACGAAGCTGTGTCCGAACGCTGTACTGACGGGTGGAAACTCATTGCAGATAAAGCTCCTCCAAAAACTCTTCAGAGCCAATGGCGATCCGCGGGCATTCATTGAACGGAGCCGGAGGCAGCCAAAGAAACGGAACGAAGAGCATAGTCAGTCAAACTCGTGGCAGAGCATTCCGTACATTAAGGGGGTCTCCGAAGCCGTGGCTCGATCACTCGCGCCACTCGGAATAGGTGTTGTCCACAGGCCTGACTCAACAGTCCGCCGGCAAGTGAGGCGGCCAAAGATCCTCTCCCTAAGCAGGAGATGTTGGCCGCTGTCTACCGACTTCAATGCAGCTGCGGAAGGTGCAACTACTTAGGGGAAACCTGCCGACGGCTGCAAACACGAATGCACGAGCATAAGTTGGCCGTGCGAAGGTTGGACCCAAAGTCGGAGGTAGCAACCCAGGCCGCGCAGATGGGACACATCTTCAACTTTGACGCCGTTGAGATTGTGGGCCGGGGCGGCGATCACACAGCAAGGCAAGTGCAAGAAGCCTGGATGTCCACCGACCGCTCTGTCAACCGCCACGTCAATTTGCTTCCCCCCTATCTGACTTTACGAACCTTCTTAGCGGGGGACGGCCACGGCGCGGGACAATCGGGGCCGTCAGTCATCTCCGCGGCCGACCGGGGCGATTCAGGTCACGGTGACAGGCGGGTTGGATGCAGCCACACAGGCGGCTTGACGGATCACGCATTGGACAAAGGGCGCCATTATAAGGGGAGCTGTGCACAGGACCTCCCAGTCTCTGAAGATGGGTAGACGAATGAACTACTCGAAACTTCGAACCTCAAATAAACCCCTCCCGGTGAACGTCTCCCCATCTTTTTAAAGTTGAATATGTTTTATAAAATAAACATGTGCAGAAATATTATTTATTGCGCCTATTTGGTGCACCATTACGACATTGTTAAATGTATGCTTGAGAAAAGAATGTCTTTCGGCTTTAAAAGTCCTATTACTTCCCAAATAAGTTTAAATCCAACCTGAATTTACAATGATGTTTGTGGTTTCGAAACTAAGTAATGTATACCCAACGTGGTGGAAAATCAAGAATTTTTTTACGCTACTAAGATCATATAGAGTAGGTGGGTTAACTCATGAAATCTCAACAGAAATTCAGAAATGAGTTTTCGTTTCGAAAATATTAATTAAGTAGGGCTGTAAAACTTTTAATTTTATACTCAAAGAAGGGACATAATTTGGTTTTCAAAAAAGTTTCTTTCTGTGAGACTTTTAAATACCGTGAAGTGACCGTTCATAAAGCGCCATGTCTCTGCATTTACCAATGTGGCTTGTAAAGGTAACAATGTGGTTCAAATCCATCGCTTAATTTTATGAACCCCAAATGATCTCCTCTAAATACGGTAGAGAACTGTATAGTTTTCCGTACGCGGAAATTATACGTCTTGTAGTTTTGTAGCCCTGAATGCAAGTGTAACGGCTGGTTGGGTTCAAAATTATTCGGGAATTAGACAAGTTTTATAAAACCAAGTTATATCCCTTCTTCGAGCATAAAATTGAAAGAAGACGGGATTTACTACGGAATGAGTAAAATAATGAATATTTTTATACCCGCTTTCTATGAAATGTAATTAAAAATGTAAGGCATCGAAAATCAATGAAAAAAATGCATGTTACTTAAGAATTCATTTTTGTTATTGGATCCAACCGGAAAAACATTTGTTCGAAAGCCGGCCTCCTGGGTTAACTGAATTATTATAGAATTATGCGGCGCGATGATTGGCTTTACAACCCTCCTTAATTAATCTTTTCGAAACGAAAACGCATTTCGGAATTTCTGTTCAGATTTCATGAGTTAGCTCACTTGATGCACATGTCAACAGTCTGCAATGCACGCGTGCCATGTGGTCAACTTACTAAGCAGCCTTTTTAATGGAAAGGTATGATGCATTTTGTATGAACGCCTCACAAATGTAAAAATCTTTCAATTGAAAACTTTTGAAAACCGAAAGATACATTTTCCGCAAGAATAAAAATTTGAAGTAAACCTAACTTTTTAACAAATATGTACAAAAAACTTGTCCATATATTTTCAATGAATTATATTTCAATTTTTAAGGCCGTCGAAAACCAAAGGGCAAAACACGCACTACTTTAGTAGCCGTTATGTGCTGATTGTAGGTTTTTCGAGCGGACATGAAGCAAGGCACCAGCTAGAGGCCTGAATATTTGTCCTTCCCTAAACACGTTATAGACTCAGCTACCTCACACCACCCTTCGTCGCAGTTAGCTTTGCAACGGTCAATAATGAGCCTGTTGGATTTATCATACTGATATAAGGGTAGGACAGACTTATGCGGTCCCCCTAAACAGGGCATGGGAATGGGTATGCCCCATCCAAGTCAAAAAGATGGACCTGCGCATAATTCCGGAAAGGGCAAAATATTTCCGTGTCCTAACCCTATCAAGGACCTTAATAGAAAAATAGACTGTTACCCTAGTCTTGACCTTAGTCCTACCCCAAACCTTCACTCTGCCGTTAACATTAGTCCCAAACGCAACCATAAACTTGATGATGGCTTACTTAGCCGTTAACTGTAAATCCTACCTGTAAATCAACCTGTTTCCCCTTTCCTACAGGCAATTACGCGGTGACCTTATACTAACATTTCGCATTATCAACGGCCTAGACTGTTGGTCAGATCCTACTGATTATTTCAGTCAAGCTAACACGCCCACTTTGCGCGGTCTTCCCCTAAAACTACGCGCCGGGAAAGCAAGGATCAATGGACGAAAATTCTTTTTCAGTAACAGAGTGATTGCAGCATGGAATGCTCTCTCTACTGATGTTGCAATCTCCTCCTGTGTGAATTCCTTTAAGTGTAGACTTGACGCGTATCAAGCTTCCCAGTTACCAGCCTCAGATCCACTCACATAACCCGGCACGAACTTATACGTGTTTATACTACTTGTAATTAGTACGTAACCGTTAATGATTACGTTTTTTTCGACTTGCTGTCAGCTGTCCGCGATTATGTACAAAATACCTTTTTCAGCTTCCCAATTATCAGTTTTTCTCCCACGACTTGTAACCAGTAAGGAATTCAAAGGCGCTCGCCCATATTTCCCTTAATAAACTGAAACTGAAAACCTAACCCTTAACCTTACCCTAACCCTAACTTTATGCATACCCCTAATTTCGCTGGACGTTGGCCCAAAGCCACCCAATATGACAGGCGGTTCCTGTTCTCATGCTCTGTTTAGACAGTCATTAAAATCACCTCTACTGATATCACCTATGTATGATGAAGTTCATTTCACCCTTCAGGAGATCCTTAAGATCCAGTGCCACTCCCTAATAAGCCCTATTCATGTTCATGTTGTGGACCCACTTGGAAGGTGGAGTCAGCTGAACGAGCCGGCCATGTCTCCACTTCGACTAGCATCGGTAGTAGGCAAACTTCCACGCCACATGCTGGAATATCCACTGCAAGATCATCAGCAACTTTACTTTGAAAATAATTGAAACCTTCAACCCCCGCGGGCTACGTCAGTCACATTGGTAAAGAAGAATTAAAAGGAAATGTTCTCGATACTGCTGACAATTATGAATAGCAGATAAAGGTCGCACCGCAACTGCGTTTAGGAACCGTTGGTCTCGCCAGAATGTATAGGTTCCTCCGACGTCGGGTTAGTAGAATTTCGCACGATCACGGGGGCATCAAGCGAATGCAGGGTTGGCTGACGAAAACACGACAGTCTGACACTCGTTTCCGACGATGCCCACCGTATGCTTCACAGCGAGGTAGGAGCAGTGATGGTGACATACGCAGCATCCAATGCCGTGTCTTCTCCTCCTCCCCAACCTGGACCCGCCGTCACGACAGGGTCAAGGACACTGGAGGCAGGACAGGGCGCAGGTGTCTTACACGGGGAAAACTCACACCTGGGCATGCACTACACCCCCTGGTTCACAGCATTCAACTGACCAGAAGTTAAAACAACAAGAAAAAGGGGGTGGCGGCTCAAATCCCAACCAGCGCGGTGTGAGCCTGCACGTAGGTGGGTTACAACACTCCGATCTGTGGTCCACATGTCGGCCCAGCTTATCTCACGTGCG